GTATATATCTAGAAAAGGGTATGTATATGTTATTGTTTAAACACGGAGAGCGTTTCAAATTACATTATTCCTGTGTTACAACTATACAATTTATTTTGTAGCTCTTTGAACAACTATATAGACCATTCTACTAGTATGTAGATGCGGAGTCCTTACAACCTAAAGTAACTGGCTCGGACATATTCCGCTTTATTCCATATACATATTTCCTGATATAGTTAGACATTATGACGACGATGAAATGAGTTGTGTGGCACATAATGTAAGTCATGAGTCTATCACATGATACTTTCATTTCCTTTATTACCGAGATATAGTTCATTTGCGCAGAACACAACATGCAATTGTGAGATGGATTAATTTTCTTGTGTTGTAGTCCTTCCTTTTAAACCCACATCCAGGGTCCCAAGGCCTGGACTACTTCATTGTAGAGCTGGCGAGGGGAAGGATTATAATATAATGGATTTTGTTGTTTCATGTTTTGGAATTTGTTTGTATATATCTAGAAAAGGGTATGTATATGTTATTGTTTAAACACGGAGAGCGTTTCAAATTATATATATATATATATATATATATATATATATATATATATATATATATATATATATATATATATATATATATATATATATATATATATATATAGGTGCCTTTTCTTGGTGGTGCTCCCTACTTTCGAGTGGTCTCTATACTTTCGATAGAATCAGTTGCTCGGGAAATAGAGCAAACTGCAACTCTATATAAGTAAGTTCTTGGTTGGCAAAATTAAATTGATATATAACTTACATTATTCATATAATTAACATTAACTTATCGTTCCATAAGGATTATTACGTTCTTTTAAGACTTGTACATATTGAGTAGGACTTGGGAAGAGAGGAACTTCACTCAAACTTTGAAACATGGCGACTGTCGCAGCAGGTGAGAACCATCTTCTCTTGCGAACTTTCTTCACTCTACAGTCGTGAGGAAAAATCTCATTGGTACGTGATACGTTAGTGTGAGTTAGTGAGATGGAGTATAATGTGTCAATGAGATCGATTATGTTCCAATCTAAATACGTTTGAGAATTTATTCACACAAATTTTATAACTGGTTTATCTTCATTTAAAATTAATAAACGACGACAATTCAATATATATTTAACATTTTATTCTTTGAAACAAAACTTTGCTGTTCATATTAGGAACTTAAATGTTGCATCCCAACGATGATTTGTATACAAATCAGTAAAATATGTTTTATTATATTTGCATTGTTATTTAATTTGGCGGTGAAGACTGCTACCCACATTTTCTACGACGTTTTAAGTTTCTTATTATTTAACAGTTATGGAGTGACTGACATAGCGTAACAGCGCTGCATGTGTGCACAAAATCTGTAATCTCACTATCAAAGTGAATTTTTCCAGAAATGCCACGGTATCACAATCTCGTTCATGAAATCAACATAAGAGCACTTTGTCTTTGTCATAAATCATTTAGTATATATATTGTATATGTTTCGACCTGACCGAGTCACTTACACCTCATTACACAACCCAGCACTTCTGGAAACCTATCTGTAAGGTATGGCCTACTATAGCGGACATGCGCAGTAGGAACAACATTTGAATACCTGTTGATATTGTAGTGTTCTCGAGAGAGGAGGACATACGACAATTTCTACGCGACTTTGAAATCTATGTTGCTGTGTTTTGAAAGGGCAGTGTTTTGAAAGATGATACGAAATAAGACGTTTTATCATCCACAATCCGACACGGTAAGGAAGAATTGTAAGGACCATTCACAGGCGTTGAAAGAGTGATATGAGTGGGGCTTGGCGTTAGTGAAGTATAAGAGTTTAATACTAGATATAGGAGGGACGGTGAGACATTATATTCGTATTTATCAGATTCGAGGCCATCGTATGAAGGAGCCTATAGCCCACCAAAATGAGAACTTTTGCCTACAGATGCCAATGTAGATCAGAAAACAGAGCATGCCCGACAAAAAGAGGCTTTGGTTTTCTACAATTGGGGAAAGAGTTTTGATACGTCAAGATGATTTGCTTAAGAAGCCGGGAGAAAGTATCCTCACGCAAATATCCACCTCAAAGAAAGAACAAGATGCCATAAACGTGTTTGCTGCACATACGGCTGGAAAACCAGATGATCTTGTTGTATGTATACAAAATGTGAAAGTGGTACACCAGTAGCCTGGAATTACTTTTCAAGCTGCAGCAGAATACTTTAGCAGTTAAAATGGGAGGATAGAGAGTTGCTGGAAAACAGAGGCCTTCCCCCAAAGTTGCATGACCACCAAAGAAACTGGGACTTGTATGTATCTTCGTCGTGTTTTACGTACAATACTGCTGTACATATAGCAGTACCGGATTTACGCCAGGTTATTTATAGTTTAGGTGAGAACTTTTGCGGCTTTTTGCCCAACGACAATATAGAGTTTACGATTCACGACGCGGCGAGAAAGATGTGTTAGAAAGGCTCGGTAACTACAATCATAGAATAATTAATTGGGACAATCCCTATAAAAGTGTCACTCAAACAGCATTGTAATATCTATAAAAAGAAAACTGTTACAGGCGGCTTTTAATCTATTGTCACAGATTGTACATTCATACATAAACGTTACCTTGCCCTCCCCCCCCCCCCC